GTTCCCTACTTCTCCTGGAAGATCTCCCACGGCAAGCACCACAAGGCCACCGGCCACATGGAGCGCGACATGGTCTTCGTCCCCAAGACCCGCGAGGTCTACGCCACCCGTGTCGGCAAGGCGATCCACGAGATCTCCGAGCTGGCTGACGAGACTCCCATCTACACCCTGCTCCACACCATCGGCCAGCAGCTCGGTGGATGGCCCATGTACCTCATGGCCAACGTTACCGGCCACAACAACCACGACCGTCAGATCGAAGGCAAGGGCAAGGGCAAGAAGAACGGCCTGTTCAGCGGTGTCAACCACTTCAACCCCTCCAGCCCCCTGTACGAGAAGCGCGACGAGCACCTCATCCTGCTCAGCGACCTCGGTATCGCTCTTGTCATCGCTGCTCTCACCTTCATTGGCAAGAGCTACGGCTTCAACAACCTCTTCGTCTGGTACATCATCCCCTACCTGTGGGTCAACCACTGGCTCGTCATGATCACCTTCCTGCAACACACCGACCCCACCCTGCCCCACTACGATGCCACCACCTGGACCTACACTCGTGGTGCCGCTGCTACCATCGACCGCGAGTTTGGCTTCATCGGACGCACCCTTCTTCACGGCATCGTCGAGACCCACGTCCTCCACCACTACATCTCCACCATTCCCTTCTACCACGCCGACGAGGCCACCGAGGCCATCAAGCCCATCATGGGCAGGCACTACCGCTCTGACACAAAGGATGGTCCCATCGGTTTCTTGAAGGCTCTGTACAAGAGTGCCCGCTGGTGCCAGTGGGTCGAGCCCAGCGTCGGTGCTGAGGGCGAGGGCAAGGGTGTTCTATTCTTCCGCAACCACAACGGCCTCGGTGTGCCACCGCAGAAGATCGATGCTCCCGGAGCTAAGAAGGCTGCGAAGATGGAGGTTGGCCCTGAGAGTGACAACGAGTAAGCGATGATTACGAATCTTATTTTTTAGAGCGGACTATTCTGCCACGGCGTTCGGGAGTCGCCCGACGAGGCTGCAAACTTTACTTCTTGCGGCGCACATTAGACTAGAAAGACCAGTCACGGTATGATTTCGGTGTAGTGTAGATCTTTTGTCGCAGGCCCTTGAGGGATCAAACAATTTCAAAAGTTAATCAATCAGAAGAAACCACCATGCAGTCGTAACAGTGAAGAAGTGAGATGGGTAGCTTGAGTTTCCCCGCACACGATGTCCGCGGTGACCCGGCGTAAACGTGACGTTGGCAGAGCCGCATACATGTATGAAAGCCTGGCCGGCCCTCCACACGCGCACGATAGACTTCATATATCGAAGCCGTTGCCTTGTTCCCGGCTGCTTGCGAATGTTGCCTCACGCATATCCGCAAGGTTCAAGCTCGGAAAAACCTCTACTGCACGCACACCGCCTCGGCATAGGCATGATGGCAAGAGTGGTGGCCACCATGTTGTAGCTCATCGAGAGCAACGCGCTGAGGGCCAGCGTAGGAAGCATCTGCAGCTTCATCACCACCTATCATGGAGCGCTGAGCCATCTCAAGCTCCACCACACACAAGCAAAGCTTCTTCTTCAATCAAAATGTAGCGACGTTGGTAAGGAACAAGATATCATCAGAAAACCTCGTCTGCTCCAGCTACCTCGCACGGTGAGTCGTGCTCTTGGGCACGTAATAGAGGATAGCTAGGTAGAGTGCCAAACTTTCCTACAATAAATTGTGCCCGAAATGAGTGAAGAAGAGAAGGTCGGAGGGCGGCCGGCGAGAATTTTGTGGCAGGCGCGAGCGGCGCTTTGGCCAATCACGGCTGGATTATTCAGTCGCCAAGCCTGAGCGATGCCATCGTGAACGTCAGTTGGAGCTCCGCAGCCACAAGTCCATCGCCATCTTTCAGAGCCTCACAATGCTGCGGCAACAGATGATCCGGTCGCTGCGGAGGCCTGCCTTCCGCGCAGCCCTCAATGGCAGCCGGGCCTTGAGTGCCTCGGCCCGCCGCCCAGCAGACGTTGAGCTCACTATCGGTTTGTGCCACTCCCCATTGCGGGCGGCGAGGTATGCTAACGCCCGTGTCAGATGGAGAGAAGGTATCAATCGAAGGTACGAAGCCGGAATACACCCCTCCTGACTGCCCACACGGTTCTAATGCGCCCCAACAGCCGGCTCGTCCCTCATCCAGGCCTGCGACAAGGCCGGAGTTACCATCCCGCGATACTGCTACCACGAGAAGTTGATGATTGCTGGAAGTTGCCGTATGTGCTTGGTCGAAGTGGAGCGGGCTCCTAAGCCAGTCGCCTCTTGCGCATGGCCTGTACAGCCCGGCATGGTCGTCAAGACCGACTCGCCTCTCGTCCACAAGGCGCGTGAGGGCATCATGGAGTTCCTGCTCGCCAACCACCCTCTGGACTGCCCCATTTGCGACCAGGGAGGCGAGTGCGATCTCCAGGATCAGTCCATGCGATACGGTGCCGACCGCGGCCGCTTCCACGAGCTCGAAGGAAAGCGTGCGGTGGAGGACAAGAACGTTGGCCCATTGGTCAAGGTAGGATTCCACAGTGTCTGGTTCCAAGAAGATGGCTTACAGATAGCAGACCTCCATGAACAGGTGCATTCACTGCACACGCTGCGTCCGTTTCTCCAACGACATCGCTGGTGCTCCTGAATTTGGTTCTTTCGGCCGTGGCAACGACCTGGAAATCGGCACATACCTCGAGACCGCCCTTGATACCGAACTCTCCGGAAACGTCATCGATCTCTGCCCCGTCGGTGCCCTCACCTCGAAGCCCTACGCGTTCAAGGCCCGCCCATGGGAACTATACAAGACTGAGTCCATCGACGTTCTTGATGGACTTGGCTCAAACATCCGCATCGACGCCCGTGGTATCCAGGTCATGAGGGTCATCCCGCGACTTAACGACGACATCAACGAGGAATGGATCAACGACAAGACCCGCTTCGCCTGCGACGCTCTCAGCACACAGCGCCTTGTCAACCCACTAGTCCGCGTTGACGATCAATTCCAGCCCGCCACCTGGGAGCAGGCGCTGGTCGAGATTGGCAACGCATACAAGAAGATCGCACCCAAGGGCAACGAATTCAAGGTCGTGGCTGGCCACCTCGTCGAGACTGAGGCGCTGGTTGCCATGAAGGATCTTGCCAACAGACTCGGCTCAGACAACCTGGCTCTTGACCAGCCCGGTGGCAGCGAACCCATCGCTCACGGAGTCGATGTCAAGTCAAACTACTCCTTCAACTCCAGGATCTACGGTGTTGAGGATGCCGACTACATTCTCCTCATTGGCTCCAACCCCAGATGGGAGGCCGCCGTTCTTAACGCTCGCATCAGGAAGCAGTGGCTGAGGACAGACCTTGAGGTTGGCTACGTTGGTGAGGACTTTGAGAGCACATTCGAGTACGAGAAGCTTGGAAGCAACGCCAACGACCTCAAGAGCGCTCTTTCTGGGGAGTTCGGAAAGAAGCTGGCTTCGGCCAAGAAGCCCATGATCATCGTCGGTAGTGGTGTCACTGAGCACGTTGATGCCAAGTCGATTTACGAGCAAGTTGGATCTTTTGTCGAGAAGAACAAGGACAAGTTCCACACCGAGGAGTGGAACGGCTACAACATCTTGCAGCGAACAGCTTCCCGAACTGGCGCCTACGAGGTTGGCTTCACCGTTCCTTCATCCGAGGTCGCCCAAACCAAGGCCAAGTTTGTCTGGCTTATGGGCGCGGATGAGGTTAATGAAGCCGACATCCCCAAGGACGCCTTTGTTGTCTACCAAGGTCACCACGGCGACCGCGGCGCACAGCTCGCCGATGTCGTCTTGCCTGGTGCCGCATACACCGAGAAGTCGGTCACATACGTCAACACCGAGGGTCGGGTACAGATGACCCGTGCCGCTGTTGGCCTTCCCGGCGCTTCAAGAGAAGACTGGAAGATCGTGCGAGCAGCCTCAGAGTACTTTGGCGCCGAGCTGCCCTACGACGATGTTGAGGCCCTGCGTGACCGCATGGAAGAGATCTCACCTGCTCTCAGGAGATACGACCTTGTTGAGCCCGCATCGCTACCCAGCTTGAGCAAGGTTCAGCTGGTAGACCAGAACCAGGGCGCACAAGCGACTGGTCAAGCGCTGAAGAATCCCATTGAGAACTTCTTCTTCACAGATGCCATCTCGAGAAAGTAAGTCACATCCATGATGCTGCCCCATTGCTGCACAATACTAACCATGACATAGCTCGCCAACAATGGCCCGTTGCTCGGCAGCCAAGGCCCAGAAGAACCCCAAGACAAACTTCATGGCACCAGGTGAGCCATACCCACAAGTCGGCTATGGTCCTCAGGTAGCAGCAGCAGCGAACGTTTAGATGTGCATTTGGTCATGGTTGAATATTGGGCTTTATCAGGATTGTAAATAAGCATTGTGACACGTTTTCTCGATTTTGGCACGTGATCCGCGATACGTAGAGAATCGAAGCGGTACCCGCGCCAGGTTGTTCAAAAATCAGTCCCGTGGCATGTCTGTAAAGGTTGAGGTATTTAATTCCAAAATACCAAGCCTTCACACAGCCTTGTACAAGCCGTCAGCCAAGGCGCTACGCGTGTGCGACCCACGTTCGCCTTCGTCGCGATCTCTCCAAGATGCCAACCACTCCCCATATTTCCCACTTATATTACCACCTGTTGCTTTCTTGTGCAGACCAAGCCTCTTGTCACCACCACCAAGCTTTTGGCGTCGCTGTGTCTTGTGATTGCAGACCGCCCCAGTATCACCGAAACGCTAACTTCTACCCCACGGATCGACCACAACACTCTACATAAAAGGCGAACATCACTCTGCAAAAGAAAGAGAGGGTTGCAGTCGCTTCAGTCGTCTCATACAACCTTGGGAAGCAAAAGAAGATATTTGTTAAGCTTTGCCGTCAAGCTTCGCCGAGAGTTTAGCAGAGCCATCGAAGAAGCCGACATAGCCGTTCGCCGGATTTTGAGGGTCCGTTCAGGGTTCGGTGGCCAGCCATGCCTACCTTGGCGGTCAACAACTTCAACATTGTCTGTGCGACATTGGGAGGGTTCATTACGCTTTTCGGCCTCGTCAGCTATTTGATGAAAGAGCATTATTATCTTAGTGAAGCCTGTAAGTTGCTGATCGCCCGGGCATGAATCATGGGGATCTTGGGTAATAGAAGTGCATAACTAACCGGCGTGTTTCTAGTAATATCACTCATTGCTGGACTCATCTTTTCTCCACATGCGACCAATTGGATCAAACCAGAAGAATACGCTCTCAACGATGTCGAAGTGCTGGATACCATTACCCTGTACTTTACGCGCCTGGTGCTGGGTGTCCAACTTGTCCTCGCGGGTGTGCAGCTTCCGTCAAAGTATCTGAAGACAGAATGGAAGAGTCTAGCTTTGCTACTCGGCCCGGGCATGACGTTCATGTGGATCGTCACCAGTCTGCTCGTCTTTGCTATGGTCCCGCACATCAGCTTCCTACATGCCCTGGCCGTAGGCGCCTGCGTCACACCCACGGATCCTGTGTTGTCCAACTCCATCGTCAAGGGAAAGTTTGCGGATGCAAATATTCCGAAGGAGTTGCAGAAGATCATCGTGGCTGAATCGGGAGCCAATGATGGTCTTGGGTACCCGTTCCTATTTCTACCGCTCTACCTTATCGAGCACATTGGCCATGGTGGTCAAGGCTCGGACAACAGCACTAAGGTTGCAGTCGGCCTGTGGTTCGGTGAGACTTGGGGCTACACAATCATTCTCAGTGTGGTTTACGGAGCCGCTGTGGGTTGGATTGCGAAGGAATTACTGCATTGGGCTGAAGAGCGGAAATACGTGGACCGCGAGAGTTTCTTGGTGTTTGCAATCACCCTGGCTGTAAGTTTCTCACGAAAATCTTGACGATGTGAGAGTTACTAACCGCAGAATTAGCTCTTCATTGTTGGCACATGCGGCATGATTGGTAGCGACGACGTGCTTGCCTGTTTCATCGCCGGCAACACGTTTACGTGGGATGACTGGTTCCGCCTCGAAACGATGGACGACTCATTCCAGCCCACCATTGATATGCTTCTGAACGTATCAATCTTCATCTGGTTCGGCGCTGTCTGCCCGTGGCGCCTCTTCGCACATTCGCCCGTCATTCCCATCTACCGGCTTATTCCCTTGGGTATACTCGTACTGCTGTTCCGCCGTCTGCCCATCATCTTCGCTATGCACAAACAGATTCATCAGATTGAGCAAAAGCGACAAGCACTCTTCGTGGGCTTCTTCGGTCCCATCGGCGTGAGCGCCATTTTTTACCTCTACATCAGTCTCGAGTTTCTCGCCAAGATCCAAGTCGATGGCGAAGTCAGGGAAGATGCTGCATACCTGATGGAAGTCATGAACGTGGTTATTTGGTTCTTGGTAATCTGCTCGGTTGTAAGTTCATTCTCATTCCATGATCTCAGAACCTTGTATGCTAACGTCACAGGTCGTTCACGGTCTATCCATTCCTCTCGGCAAAGTTGGCTTCTTCATCCCCCGCACCCTAAGCACAGCTTTGTCCTTTGCCCGCACAGGCTCTAACTCCCCCGAGGACACCGGTCCAGCTTTCCACATCGAGGGAAACGACCAGACCATCACCGATGCCGAAGCGCGCGTTCGCCGCCGTCCAGGCTGGTCTCGCAACGGCGGCGATTCGCTGCCAAACCGTGTCGTGCGCATCGGCAGGTCCATAATTAGTTCGGGGACTAGCTCAGCCAGCACATCGAGAGCGACATCGAGAGCACCCAGTACGAGCCGCTCAGCTAGTCAGCCACCAGTACCAATGGCCAGTGTCAACGCCTTAGTCTCGGACGGGGAGGGTGCGGCGCCCAAAGGAAATGTGAAGGCTGGTGGTGAGAATGCCGAGGCGCCGGATCCGGCTGAGAGAGTCATCCCTGGAAGAACAATCCGCTTCCATGACGAGCAAAACAAAACCAAGGTTGGAGATGAAGAGTAGGGAATTGGTGTTCGATCTTTTTCCTGTGTACGAGTCTGCGTGTTCATGTGGAACCCATATTGTGGCATTTAGCGACGACATCTGAAATATCTCATAAGTTTCCATGGTAAAATCATACTCAATCCACGATGTTACCAAGAATATATTGCCATAATCTTTGGAATATCACAAACGCAAAATCTCCACAACTCAATCCAGTTACGTCCACTCAAACCACACCAACAACACCCTTCTCCCCACCCTCTCTCCTCGCAATCTCCTCCACATCCACAACCGTCCCCTCCCGAACACTCTTCTCCAACTCCTCTCTCTTAACCGCACACCTCGCACTATACGTCGCTTGATCCCTCTTACACTCCTTTTCCCAGAAGAAGTTCTCGCCCCAGCACGCCGCGCCAACCAATTCAAGCACCAGCACAGACACGACTAATCCCGTGGTCGTTGCTATCAACGGCAGGCTATCGAGGTGCGCGAGCGGTAGTGTGAATATGATGACAGAAACAGCAGCGCGGAAGAGGAGACGCACGGGTTTGCGGAGGCGCTGATTGGGAATCGTGCGGTGGACGTGTGTTGCTGAGATAATGGTAAGGCAGAGGAGAGAGATGCCTAGACCGCCGCAGTAGAACCAGACTAGGCCTTTAGAGATGTGGTCTTCGGAACGGGAAATGAAGGTTTCGGATAGGGATTCTAGGGGTGCGGAGGAGGTGTCGTGGGCGCGGACTAGGACGCCGAGGGCTGATGCGGATAGGACGAAGGACATGATGAAGGGTAGGTGGGCGGAGAACCATGTCAAAGCTGATTTAATCGTTAGCCCTGGCGTAAGATTTGGGTATCTAAATTACCGGAGAACACATGCCGTCGAATGGCATGTGTATGTAGATTGAACGAGTCAATCTCAAAGTAGACCCAGTTCAACACGAACGTCTGCACCAAACCCAGCACCGCCTTCCCAAAGAACGCATTGATCCCCATCGCCACACTACTCTGGTACAGCAAGCCCAACACGCAAGAGCCAAATACCAGCGTAACAAACGCATTCGTCCGCTCAATCCGATGCTCAATGTTCGTCGCGGGATAGAACTCCAGACTCGTCTTCCACGACTCAGGTACGAACGGCGTGATGGGCGACCCCGGCCGCTGAAGCAACACCATGGCAAACTGACCAAAGAGATCAAACAGAATAGCCACCCAAATAAGTCCCTGTCGCTTCGGTTCCTCCATACTCACGCTCGCCATCCAAAGCGCCGCTGGGATCAAAGAGAGTAACGCATTCCCCAACATACTTCCCCTCACCATGGGAATGCACCATGCGTACCAAAACCAACAGCTCATTACAAACAGCCTTGCCGCGAGATAGAAGCCCACAAGCGGCGCATAAGTCTGCTCCCACGCCTCAACCATATTGGTCGTAAAGCCCAACAGACATGTAAGCAGAAAGAGAACGGAAACCCGCCTGATCACATCGTCGCTATCGAACCACGACACCAGCACCCCGATATCCGTCCAGAACTTCCAGCCCATGATGAAGGTGATTGCGAAACGAAGCAAGGACTGCGCGGTGGGATGTTCGGCTGCAGAATCGCCTGTTATGGCAATAATGCCCACGTAGAAGAGGTCGATGAAGAGTTCGTAGCTAGCTACCTCCTGTGCTTCTTTTGCGCGCCAGAGGAGCCCCTTGTGGAAGTACTGTCGTACGATGGGCTTTTGGTAGAAGTGGATTGCTGTACCGTGTTGACGATCAGAGTGCCATGTTTCCTTGTCGAAGGAGGAGTCAGCGAGGGAGTCTGATGATGGGTTGTCTTCTTTGGTGCGTAGATGGGCCGAGTAACCGTATTTGGAGAAGTTGGCGTCGAGTTGCACGGCGTGGGAGGTTAGCATGTGGAGTTCAGTGGAGAGCGTGTCGAGGTCCCGGATTACGCGCTCGAATTCTTGGGCTAGGTCGCCATGGTCCTGGTGCAGTTGGCGGTGGTGTGCTGTGTGGTGGGCGTGGGTGTGGCGGAGTGCTTCGATCTGTGTGCGTTAGTAGGGCGAATGTTCCATGCCATGGCTCTCTCGTTCTTGTGTAGAACTAACATGTTCGGGAGATCCATGGATGACTAGGTCGAAGTCTTCTTTCTCGTTCGCATTGCTCAGCTTCCTCCTCATGTGATTTGCTTCATCGGGTGAGCTCGCAATGTGCACCTTTCTTCCATCTGGTCTCAGAAAGTGTTTCAGCCTCTTGCCCGTGTGGTGACCAATGTGTGCATGATGGTGCTGGTGAGGGTCATGCTGTGCGCTTGTTGTCGTGCTTGTTGGATCGTCCATGTTAGCAGCCGGCATGTGCGGGATACCAACCATCTTGCTCATCACGAAGTAGATGAAGGCGCAGATAACTAGGAGAGATAAAGAGAGGATCCCAGATACACTATATAAACTGTGCAACGCAATTGTACCGACGCCGTCTCCTGGGTGGCTTGCCTCTACCGGGGCTAGCGCCTACCCGATTGGTCGAGATGGAAAGTCAAGAGCGTGAATAAGCAGCTACAACACCTGGGTAAGCTGCGGGGCGAAAGCTGAAGTTCAGCTTATGTCGTTTGATGGAACGACAGCTCCAAGATATAGCAGGATTGCTTGTGTAAGACAGGCTGCTTTGGTTCTTTGGTTCCTAACTGATGAGGAAGGAGCGAGACATGCCTACGAAGTCTGACTGCAAGGAGAGGCCGTTCAGCTTTCTATATGATCCTGCGTAGATGAGTCAGAAATCAAGCATTGTGATGGCTTTCGCCCAGACAGCTAGGTCGGAAAGACAACATGAAGCGATAGGAACATGTGCATGCGGACACCGCTAGCAATCGCCGGATGTCTGATTCTGTGAGAATCCTCCTGCTCATGCTGGAGACTGCATGGGAGACCCTCATGGAGCGGACGAGTTGCTGCAGTATGTGCGTTTCCCTCTATAAGTAAAAAACGCAGTCCTAGCTTGATGATAGTGTATATTGCTCGCTGCCGATATAGGCATACTCTGTGTCGAGAGACCTGAGCGCTTCGCTGTCCTCCGAGACCCTGTGTGTCCGCTGTCTATCGTTTCTTCGTCTGCCCTGCAGGACTCTGTGTACGTGCGCTCGCGCTGCCCGAGTCGGTCTTACCGGCCATCCACGAGGCGAGGTCAAAGTTCTGTAACTGCGATGCCGTGTTGGTGTTTCCGGAGCCCAGGACGCCGTTCTTCTTCATCTCCTCGAATTCTTCCTTCATCTCGGGGTCCACTACGCATGTGTCAGTAACCTTGGCAGTACCTAGCGGGCTGCCGCGAGACTTACTGTTCTCCATCAATTTGGGCATGCCGAAGATGAGACCCATGGAAACTATCGCCATGAGAATCATAGGGTTCTTCAAGAATGACAACGGTGAAACTGCAGCGTGTTAGCACAATCTCCCCATTGCGCATTGTCGCGATGCCAACTTACAGCCTTGCCTCTCTTGGTAGAAGTACTTGGTTCCCACCGGCCTGGCTTCAACCACCAGACCGCTACCGCCCTCGCCGCGGCTCTCTCCCTTGTTGTCCCATTCGTTGCCCAGGAAGGTCTGGTATGCCCTAATCATCTCCTTCTTCTCCCCGCTGCCCTCTGCCGCCTCCTCCACGGTGACATCAATCCTCAATGGCTCGAACGCATAGTCGCGGCAATGCACGGTAGCAAGGTAGCTTCCGGCGCTCACATTGTTGAAGTTGAACGTGTTGGAGCGCGTGAGATAGGCGTCGAGGGGCGGGCCGGAGGACTGGAGCGTTGCGTGCGTGGTCGAGGGGAGCGTGGACGGGTTGACAAGGACCGTGTTCGGGATTTGCAGCAGCAGACGTGCAGCGCTTGTGAGCGTCGCGAAGGACGAGAGGGTGGCGAGTGACGTCTTCATCGTGGCGTGGGTTGAGCGGGTCGTGAGGTTGATCATGTCGCTCTGGTGGGCGATGGATGCTCGATGCGCGAGAACAGCGCACGGACCTCAGACATGCTAGAATTCGTGTCGCAGTTTGCAGTATGCACACTATCAGTTATGAATGACTAGGCAATTTCTAGGTCAATGTAGACCCCTTTCCAAGTATCCAGGGAGCCCTCGCCAACTATGCCCAAATTCGTTATCGTAGCACTAGTAGTACGAGAAGTCAAGAGGAACAGCATCACGTAGTGGTGAGATGTTGGGCTACCAAAACGATGGAGTAACGCGGTTGGCTTCATCTGTTACATTGCACTGATACTTGAGTAGTATAAATCGAGAGATGCTGCCTCCCGCTCTTGCGTATAGCGAATCGCGTAAGAGACAAGCACCTCAGGCCCATCTTCTCTGCCACCTCATCGCTCATTATCTTCTCTATATACCTTGTACCTGGGTAACAATCGTCTCTGATATGTCATCCACACGCGTCGTCCTCAAAGAAGCCGAGTCGAAACAGACTCAATATTCGAAAACGTGGATCACGGCCTCAGGCAGCTTAATGGTGAGAGACACTGGACCTCTATCCTCTTGATATAATTGCCTCTTTAGCTGAATCGTCTTGATGATGCATGGCTGGTCAGCCTTTTTGGCGGCCTCGACAAGCTGACGGTAGATCTCATTTGCCACAATCTTGTACCGTTCGTCTCCGATAACAACCTCATGGGCATGACGGAAATTGGGTTCTTGACCGAGCGTGCGATACACGAACGTGACCGTCTCGAGCCTGACCAACTTGACCAGCTGTTTGGCGATAGCGGCCACCTTCTGACGAAATGCCTCGGTAATTTTTCCTTTCTCCAAGACACGTTGAATCGCTGAACAACGCATGCCAAACTCTCGGACTGCTGGACATAGAACCACGATCTCGCTAAGCAAATCGATATGGATATCTTTGTTGCCGTCACTGAACTCAAGAACGGTCAGGTGAGACTTGTCATGCAGCATGCGGACAGGGTTCAATTCCCAATATGTAGCCGTGGCGATGCTGAGCTCCTCAATTTCAGTTGAGTCGCGGACGAACTCGGTGAGATAAGTAT